GTTAAAAATTGAATCTGCTAGACCAGGCATGGTGGATCACACCTGTAATCCCAGCACTTTGGGAGGTTGAGGCAGGTGGATCACTTGAAGCCAAGAGTTCGAGACCAGCCTGGCCAACATGGTAAAACCCCGTCTCTACTAAAAATATAAAAAATTAGCCGGGCATGGTGGCACAAGCTGTAGTCCCAGCTACTCAGGAAGCTTAGGCAGCAGAATCACTTGAACCCGGGAGGTGGAGGTTGCAATGAGCCAAGATCACACCACTGCACTCTAACCTGGGTGACAGAGCAAGACTCTGTATTTTAAAAAATGAGGCTGGGTGCGGTGGCTCACACCTGTAATCCTAGCACTTTGAGTGGCCGAGATGGGTGGATCACAAGGTCAGGATATCGAGACAATCCTGGCTAACACAATGAAACCCAATCTCTACTAAAAATACAAAACATTAGTCAGGACTGGTGGCACATGCCTGTAGTCCCAGCTACTCAGGAGGCTGAGGCAGGAGAATCGCTTGAACCTGGGAAGCGGAGGTTACAGTGAGCCAAGATCATGCCATTGCACTCCAGCCTGGGTGACAGAGTGAGACTCCGTCTCAAAAGAAAAGAAAAGAAAAGAAAAAATTGAGTCTGCTGTGCCCAACCAAACCATCAGCTGTGGAGTCCTGCCCTGAATCATTTACTGCTTACCCTATCTCTGGGACCATCAGGGCAGGTAGGTGGCAGCAGTTGTTTTCCAAGCCCTGCTGCTCCCAGGCCAGTGTGACATCTGCAATGATCATTTTAACAGGCTGGACACCCTCATGTCACCCTAGCATTTATCCTTGGCCTACTTGCCACTTACGCCCTACCCAGTGGGGGAGTGGCAAGGCCTTGGCTCTGGGCTCCACAGGTAGAGTTTTGCAGGGGAGTCCAGTGAACTCACTCTTTACAAAACCTACCCAGGCCTTCTTTCAGCCACCCTCCTGCTAGGATTATATGTAATGTATTTTATATATGTATACCTATATACACACATATATATATATATATATATAATATTGTATATAATTTTTTATAGAGACGGGATCTTTCTCTGTCACCCAGGCTGGAGTGCAGTGGCATGATCATAGCTCACTGCAGCCTCAAACTCCTGGGCTCAAGTGATTCTCCTGCCTCAGCTTCTCAAGTAGCTGGGATTACAGGCAGGAACCACCAGACCTGGCATTTTTTTTTTTTTTTTTTTTTTTTTTTTTTTTTTTTTTTTTTTTTTTTTTTTTTTTTTTTTTTTTTTTTTTTTTTTTTTTTTTTTTTTGGAGAGATAAGGTCTCACCATCTTGCTCAGGCTGGTCTGGAACTCCTGGGCTCAAGCCATCCTCCTGCCTTGGCCTCTCAAAATGCTGAGATTGCAGGCATGAGTCACGGTGCGTGGCCAAGAGACTATATTTTGAGCAGCTGCTGGCAGTGGGGACTAAGTTCTGGTCTGAGGAGGGCTTCCTGGGAGTTCAGGAGAGAAATGCCTGTCACTGTTGGTGCACAGTGAGTACAGCCCTCTCTGGTTACCCAGAGGACAAGGTGTGGCTCCCTCCAGTGCAGGTCCCTGGCCCCAAAAAGCTGGACCTGCGCTCTCCCCAGTCACCAGAGATCCCTCTCCTTCCTCCCCAACAAGGTGTTTGGCTGGCTGAGGTCAAGGCAGCAGCTATGCAGACCCTGACTTGTGGACGTTCCTAAGCACCAGGGGCTCACCTTGTGTCCCGCCAGTCTCCTTCAGAAGGCTGCGGTGGGTAGGCCAGATCAGAAATTCAGGAAGCTGAAACAGCCAAACAGCCAAAAGGTGGAACCCAGCCGGCTCCCGGGGACTGCCTGTGAAATGGACGGGCTCTGAATAAGTGGAACAGTGGTGATGAGCCTTGAACGCCAGCTCAAGGGATGGGGCGTTGTTTATAAACAAGTCGCTAACCAGGAGCCCCAACCACATTCCGAGTGGATCAGGTGGTCCCGCCTGGCCAAGGTCCCTGCGCCAGGTGCGCTCGCTCTCCCAGGTCGGTAATTGCCGCCACCATCCCTACGAGTCTCCAGCCCCAGTCTACGTCCGTTCAGTCCGAGGCCGCTCTTGGACTGGGACTGAGGCGCCCACGACTGATGCCGGAGGCACAGCGAACGGCGCGGCTGCAGGGAAGCCCTCTGTCCTGCAGGCGACGGGCTCCCGTGAGGCAGCAGGTGCCGAGGACGAGTAGCAGATCTGGGGTGCAGAAACCTGTATTCGAGTCCCGGCTTCAGAGCCCCTGGGCTGTGTGATGTAGAGGGGTCGGTTGCCCTCTGAGAGCCTTCGTGGATGACAGCTGATGCTCGGGCCCACCTTCCTCGGCTGCTGAAAGGCTCTGAAAGAACCGCGTGTAAAACGCCCTGGAATCTTAATTCCACTTAATTACTACGGGCTTCCTAGAAACAGTCCATGGTCCTGCTTCCTGTAAACGCTTCACGGTGTCGTCGCTGTCATAGCGTTGCGCAGAGGGACTGCTCTGCCTCGCTGCCCTAGAACAGTCCCTCTGTACCCCATTGCCCCTCGGGATGTCGTTATGTTGCTTTTTTTTTTTGAAGCAACCCAGAAGTCATATGTTGTCTTTTAACCTGGGGCAGGAGGTTGCAGTTGAGGCTGCAAGTCTGAGCCGGCTGCGACCTGAGGGTCGGCTGCAACTAGCAGCCGCGACGGTGTCTACACTGGAATTCCAAGGAGGCTCCAGGCGCGTGACCAAGGTTCAGTCTCCTGACCCGGGCCGCGCGCTGCTGGATGAATCGCCAGCCTTCCCCCGCAGCTCCCTCCCCCTCATCTCTGACCCAAAGCTCTGCATGATCCCCTGAGCGCAGGCCGAGGCTTCGCACAGCCTGTGGGCTGTGAGGTCCTGGCCCCGAAGCTCGGCCCCGCTGGGACTGTCCCTCTGCCTCTATTCCGGGGTAAAGACCGCGGAAGTAGTCTGGGGTCTGGGGAGCCGGGCAGCGACCTCGGCTGCAGGTTTCCGCTGCTGCCTCCAGGGTGCTGTCCACCCCGTGGTGCTGAAGCGCCCTACGCCCCTCCGCCATCTACGGGAAGCCGAGAGTCCGCGCTGCAGCCTCCACTCAGGATTCGACCCGAACTCCAGGACGCGTCCACACTGGTCCAACAGCGCTCATGGATGGATCGTCGCCTGCCTCAACTGTTCAGACCACCGAGGATTTCACCCGGAAGCACCGGGGAGGTCGGAGCTTGCCTGAGAAGCCTCAGCGAAGGTCCATGCCTTTGTCCAGACCCAGTCAGCGCGGCAGAGGTGGGCGAAGCTCCAACCCCATGCTCTCTCCCGGCACTGGCAGGAATTCACATATTATGGACATAGTCCTTACTCACTCCAAACCTGTCCTATGAATTGTATGGGCCCCAGGAAAGTTTCCCTGGGCTTTTAGAATCTCAACCCCCTTGTGGCCATCCGAGCTGTGTCAACACTGCTACCTGCGAAGCAGGAGAGAAAAATCCCTGGAATTTCTCCCGCACATCTCTCACAACGTGAATATGCCCTTCTTTGACACTGGGTACAGCAACTTCGGGACCAGATTTTTGCTCCTGAGCATGTAAAATCCAAGTATGGGCAGCGCAGTCGCTCACGCCTATAATCTCAGCACTTTGGAAGGCCAGGCGGGCGGATCGCTTGAGCCGAGGAATTAAAGACCAGCCTGGGCAACATAGTGAAGCCCCATCTCTACAAGAAAACACAAAATTTAGCCGAGAGTGATGGCACTCCACGTGTAGTCCCAGCTACTGGGGAGGCTGAGGTGGGAGGATCACCTGAGACCAAAAGGTTTCAGTAAGCGAGCAAGACCATGTCCAAAAGAAAGGGAGAGAAAGAAAGAAAAGAGGAAGGAAGGAAGGAAAGAAGGAAGGAAGGAAGGAAGGAAGGAAGGAGGGAAGGAGAGAGAGAAAGAAAGAAAGAAAAGAAAAAAAAGAAAGAAAGAAAGAAAAGAAAAGATTTTTTTTTTTCCTTTTTGGAAAGCTTGGATGACCACAGAGGGGTGAGATTCCTTTTTTTTTTTTTTTTTTTNTGGGAGGGTGAGGCAGGAGAATCACTTGAACCCAGGAGACAGAGCTTGTAGTGAGCAGAGATCACACCACTGAACTCCAGCCTGGGTGACAGAGCGAGACTGTCTGGAAAAAAAAAAAAAAAAGATAAAGAAAAAAAGATCTTTGGCAGCTGTGTACAGCACAGACCAGGAAACTTTCTGAAAAGAGCCAGAAGGTAATATTTTAGACTTGCAAACCATATGGTCTCCATGGAGACTACTCAAACCTGCTGTTATGAGGAAAAGCAGCCATGGAATGGGTATAAATGAGTGCGGCTGTGTTCCAGTAAAACTACTTATGAAAACAGGCAGTGGGCTAGATTCAAGCCCTCTAGTTTACCTACCCTGGAATACACTACAGGGGACCATGGGATGGTAGGTAGACCAGGTGGAAGGCCCTGCAATTAAACAGAGCCACAGGCAACTGTCACCTGGACCAGGGGTAGCAGGGAAGACGGTGAGCTATGGTCCATCAGGGCATAAGATGGAGGCAGAGCAGACAACAAGACTGCTGATATATCAGATATGGGCGTGGAAAAAAAGAGGGTTTGGGCCAGGTGCGGTGGCATGCCTATAATCCCAGATCTTCGGGAGGCCAAGGCCCGATCACCTGACTTAGGAGTTCGAGACCAGCCTGATCAACATGGCAAAACCCTGTCTCTACAAAATATACAAAAATTAGCCAGGCGTGGTGGCACATGCCTGTAGTCCCAGCTGCTTGGGAGGCTGAGAAAAAAAGAATCACTCGAATCTAGGAGGCGAAGGTTGCAGTGAGCAGAGATCACGCCATTGCTCTCCAGCCTGGGTGATAAGAGTGGAAACACCATCTCAAAAAAAAAGTTTTTTCCTGGCTAACTGGAAGAACAGCTATTTTCCGAGAGAAAATCAGGCTGAAGAGGAGGCGGGTGGATTAGAGATAAAAATTGAATGTGTGGATTTAGACATGTTAAGTTTGGGATATTTATTATATATCTATTAAAGACACAGAGTTGGATATAGGACTTGGAGCTCAAGAGAGGGTGGGTTTACAGAAATAGGTTTCTGAGTCTTTGTTTAGGTGGTCTTGAAAACCACAGGACTGGATGAAACTGCTCCGTCTCGGTTCAGGCATTAGATTCTCATGAGAAGCATGCAACCTAGACCCCTTTCATGCACAGCTTGCAATAGGGTTCATGCTCCCAAAAGAATCTAATGTCATTCTGATCTGATCAGATGCTGGGCTCAGGCATAATGCCAGCTAGCTAGCTGCTCACCTCCTGCTGTGCCATCAAGTTCCTAATAGGCCACGGAAGGGTTCTGGTCCTTGGCGGGGTGGTGGGGGACCCATGGTTTGAAGTGTAATTTTTGCAGACAGCTTAACTTGTCCAAGGTAACACAGCTCTGGGAAGGAGTGAGCTGGGCTAGACCCCAGCTCTTTGCATGGGCTGTGCTGCCTCCCTGACACAGCTGACTTCTATAGGGTGAATGTACCCTCGTGTGTGTGCATTCCCGCCAAAGGGTGAGTGTGAGGCTGGGGCTGGTTGCAGTTTTCCAGCCAGCAGGGAAAGGCGCACCATGGGGAGGACTGAGGCCTGGAACGAGGCAATGGTGACCGGCTGCGTCTTCTTGTCCTCTCGGTTTCCTGGAGGCAGGATCTCCACGCGATGCACCTCCTCTTTGGTTTTCTCCCCTAAGCAAATCGTATGAAGCAACAGCCTGCAGCCCTGCTTCCCCTCCGGCTGGGGTCTGAAGGTCCAAGTCCGCCTCTCCTGACTGAGCTCGCAGCCCCAGAGCACCGTCTTCACTGCCTTTTCCTCCGTGCTGCTGGTGCTGCTGAGATTCATGGCTCGGGGCGGAGGAGCGGGATGGCCGCGCAGCTGCAAGGAGGACGCCCACGTGAGGCCTTGCGCCCCGACCCTCGGCGTCGCTGCTCCGCGCGGGACCCGTCACGCCATCGGTACTACCGGAGTGCAGCGCAACCTCATCCCCGCTGGCCCAGAGGAGTGAGATTCTAAAAGTCGCGGTAAAGCTTCCCAGGGCCCAGCCTCCGTATCACAATTCACAGGACAGATCTGGAGTGAGTGAGGACGACTACGTCCATAAAAAGAAAGGGAAGGGAAAGACAAGACAATATTGACCATGAATCAAGTGTGATCGTAGCACAAAGAAGCAGGAAACTGTTCCCCAGAGCAGGCACCAGTTCAGAGAAGAGGTCCAATGCTATGAAAGCCCTGCCCCATCTGGCTCCCGCCGTGCTCCTGCGCGGTGTCCCAGGGCCTCCTGGCACCTTTTTATCATCAGCCCAGGGCGCAATGCCAGACCAGTTAGTAGAGGCAGAAGTCAGGCAGGCAGGTGTCGTCCAGTGTGTTCCAGGCCAGCTGAGTGTGCAAACAGCGCCCAGTTCAGACAGCGCCCCAGGTCGAGGCTGGCCTGCGTAGGGGCCGCGCTCCGGCTGGACGTCACGCTCAGCGCGCAGGGCACCTGAGGACCGTGCATCGCTGACCTAGTTGTCAGCGCAGCGAGGAGCAGTCACACTGTGGAGGCGGAAACGCTGCGCGCAACTCAAGCACTGCCAGGCTGCTGAAGAGGCCTTCCGGGGCACAGAGGCCGCAGCTGCGCGGTGCGGAGGGCTGTCAGCGAGCATGGATCGGGGAGCGTTTCCCGCGAGAAAGCAGAGCCTGCACCAGCCGAGGGCTCCGCAAAGGGCCGCTGGTCCGAGGACTGTTGCCTATTCCCCAGCGGCTCCCGACCTCTTCTCTGAACTGATCCCTGCTCTGGGGAACAGTGCCCTGCTTCTTTGTGCCATGATCTCGCTTGACTCATGGGCCAATATTGTCTTGTCTTTTATTTCCTTTTATGGACATAGTCCTTGCTTATTCCAGACTTGTCCTGTGAATTATATGAGGAGGCTGGGCCCTGGGAAGCTTTCCCTTGGTTTTTAGAATCTCAGCCCCCTAGCTGCCTGCCCTGGGAGGGTGGAGATATAGTCAGAAGACAGAAACCACTCCCACCACTCCAGCCTCCTGTATAAGCTACAAAATGAAAATGTGGGCCAGGTGAGGTGGCCCAGGCCCTTAATCCCAGCTCTTTGGGGGGCCGAGGCAGGTGGATCACCCGAGGTCAGGAGTTCGAGATCAGCCTGTTTCCCCCCCCACCACCACCAAAAAAGGAAAAAGAAAACGTAGAGCCCTTCTAAATGCAGCCCCTCTGTGACTATGCAAGCCCCTGGCCCCAGGAAGCCAGGACTGCCCTACTCCTCTACTGCGCAAGGCTCATTAAACTTACACTTCAGAAATCTCGGAGTTACAGTACTTACTAGGAAAGAGCCACTCCCTGCTTCTCTATTTGCATAATAAACGAGGAGGCTGCCAGACCCATCTAACCACTCCACGTGTACCCGTGCACCCACGTGTGGCCCTTATCAGATGCAGCAGGTGAGCTAAGTTGCCAATTGCTCAGCTTCTTTCTACACCTGGAGAAGGGAGTGGCTAGGACAGGGTCTTCAGGGAACATGCTGCCTCATTCTTAACTGCTTCTCTCAGTTCCCCCCACCACCTCCCCCAGTGACTCGGTTATCTATTCAGTATCTAAGAGAGTAGTTCAGATAAGGAAGTCTCCTGAAGGAGGCTAAAGTTCTGGTACTGGGTTTAGGGTGGACCTAAAGAGCTGTTTTTCAACTCTCTGACTGCTGTTTGTTTTTTCTTTTTTTTTGCGATAGAGTCTGGCTGTCTTGCCCAGACTTGAGTGCAGTGGCGCAATCTCAGCTCACTGTAACCTCCGCCTTCTGGGTTCAAATGATTCTCCTGGCTCAGCCTCCAGTGTACCTGGGATTACAGGTGTGTACCACTATGCCTGGCTAATTTTTGTGTTTTTAGTAGAGGCGTGGTTTCTCCAAGTTGGCCAGCCTGGTCTCGAACTCCTGGCCTCAAGTGATACACCCGCCTTGGCCTCCCAAAGTGCTGAGATTACAGGTGTGAGCCACCACACCCAACCTCTGAATTCTGTTTCATTGCTGTTAAATGATACCTCCCCACTAACCAGAAAAGAGACTCAGGACAGACTGATCTACAGTTAGAAAGAACTTCCAAGCTGAAATGGTCCAAACTGTTAGACAAGCAGGGACAGCAGAGGGCGCCAATGTTGTGCAAAGGCACTCGGGGAGGAGGCACCACAAGCACATTTTCCCTCACATTCTGCAAATCTATTCAGAACGACCTCCCCCCCAACCTCACACGTATTCCCCACCTCACTGGCACATCAGACGTCAGAGTTAGGACTCCAGGCTCAGATTCTCTGACTGATCAACAAGGGACCTTCACCAGGCCCCACCGCACCCCTCAACTATTTTCATGAACTTAGGGCAGCTCCCCTCAGTGGGGAGGTGGTGAGAGGAGCTGAGACTCCCAGTTTCCCTGCCCATCCGGTTGCCCTGTCCAACCAGCAGGGCGGGAAGGCGTTCGCTGCAGTGTTCTTTAGAAAGGAGAGGGAGCTGACGTTGCAGCCTGGGTGTATTGTGGAGCCACAAAATGAAAGGTGTAAAGGCTGCCCAGTAACATGGACTCATGTTTACACTGAAATGTAGACGTTAAAAAGCAGGACCCAGCTGGGCGTGGTGGCTCACGCCTGTAATCCTAACACTTTGGGAGGCCGAAGTGGGTGGATCACCTGAGGTCAGGAGTTCAAGACCAGCCTGG